GAAGATAATATACCCATCAAGCACCCTGTAAATGATGGTGATGTAAATAAAGTTAACATATTACCTTTAGCAACTATGACACAGATATAGTAACTTTCACTAAGCTCCTCAAAGGCATAGCCAGATCTTGCATGGTCTGAAAATGCCTCTTCCCCCGAGTCAGGACTAAAAATGGAGCAGGCACTAAATATGCACTTATGGTATTTTTAAATGTTTTTATTGTAGCAAAATATGCATTACACAAAATTTACCATCTTATCCATTTTTAAGCATACAGTTCAGTGACATGCACATTATTGTATAACCATCACCACTATCTATCATCTCCAGAACTTTTTCATCTTCCCAGGCTGAAATTCTGCACCCATTAAGCCCTAACTCCTCATTCCTATATTCCTCAGCCTCTGGCAGCCACCATTCTACTTTCTGTCTTTATGAATTTGACTACTATAGGTATCGCACATAAGTAGAATCATATGATATATGTCCTTTTGTGACTGGCTTATTTAAGTTAGCAAAATGTCTTCAGGGTCCATCCATGTTGTAGCATGTTGTCAGAAGTTCCTTTCTTTTTAAGGCTGAATAATATTCTATTGGATGTATATATCACAATTTCTTTATCTATTTATCCATAAATGGACATTTGGGTTGCTTCCATCTTTGGCTATTGTTAATAATGCTATTATGAACATATATTATGAACATTGGTATACAAATATCTATTCCAGTTCCTGCTTTCCTTTCTTTTGGGTAAATTCCTAGAAGTGAAATTTCAGGATCATATGGTAATTGTATGTTTCATTTTTTGAAGAACTTTCATACTGTTCTTGATAGCAACTGTGCCACTCAACATTCCCATCAGCAATGCACAATGATTCCAGTATCTCCATATTCTTACCACGCACTTATTTTTTGTGCCGTGATTTTTTTTGTTTGGGTTTTTTATAATAGCCATCCTAATGGAAATGAAATGATGTCTTATTGTGGTTTGACTTGCATTCACCTTGATCAGTGATGTTAAACATCTTCTCATGTACTTATTGACCCTTTGTATATCTTCTTTGGAGAAAAGTCCTTTTCCCATTTTTTAACCTGTTTTTTTTTTTTTCTGTTGTTGAGTTTTAGGAGTTAATATAGTCTGGATACTAATTCCTTATTAGAGAGATGATTTGTAAATATTTTCTCCCACTCTTTGAGTGGACTTTTCACTCCATTGATAGTGTCCTTTGATGCACAAAAGTTTCTTATTTTGATAAAATCTAACTAATTTTTTCTTTTAGTACCATATCCAAAAAATAATTGTCAAGCCCAATATCAAAAATATTTCTCTATGTTTTCTTCTAAGAATTTTACAGTTTTAGCTATTATGTTTTTGATCCATTTTTAGATCATTTTTATATATGATATAAGGTAAAAGTCCATCATCATTATTTTTCATACAGATATCCAATTTGTTCAACATCGTTTGTTAACAAGACTGACCTTTTCCATTGGATGGTCTTGACACCCTACTTAATGGCTGTATTACTATGTTATCACGCTGCTAATAAAAATATACCAGAGATTGGGCAATTTACAAAAGAAAGGCGTTTAATGGACTTATAGTTCCACATACCTAGGAAGGCTTCACAATCATGGTGGAAGGCAAGGAAAAGCACATCATGTTTTACATGGATGGCGGCAGGCAAAGAGAGAGCTTGTGGAGGGAAACTCCCATTTTTAAAACCATAATATCTCGAGAGACTTATTCACTATCATGAGAACAGCGCAGGAAACACCCATCCCTATAATTCACCTTCTACTGGGTTCCTCCCATGACATGTGGGAATTGTGGAAGTTACAATTCAAGATAAGACTTGGGTGGGGACACAGCCCAACCATATCAATGGCATTTTAATTAATTCTGCTCTATAAAGAGTTTGCAGTTTATTACATGGAATGATTTCTTCTTTTGGGTGGATGCAAGCAGTATACCTCTGTGAACAAAGCAGAATATTACTATATTTGCTGTTTCATGCCCTCCCTTCTATAATGGTTTGACTCTAACATGTGCAGCAAACTTCTTTATGTATATTCAAAAGGAATGATTTACCCACTATCTGATTTAATGCTCTTTAAAGCTTAAAAGCCTGTCAAACAGACTAAAGAATCATTTTCCATCCCTTCGTGGTCCTGCATCTAACTGTGGGAATCATTACATTGCCCTACGTTGTGCCTAGGTGTGCTGTTATACCAAATAGGGCTGGCCCACTCTCCTACTGAACAACTGCATAAATGAAGGGTTTACAAGGAGCTTCCCCAAATGCTTATGTTTACTTTAAACCAACAATCATTAAGGAAAGAATCTGGTGGAGGGAAGATACAAGGTGACTTGCAAAGTCGCTCATAAGAGATCATAAATAGGTGTAATTGAAGGTTTGGGTATCTCTTTAAAAAAAGAGAGACTAACGTTATAATAATATTCCACTTCATGCCTGAATTTAAAAGAAAAAATATAAGATCTACTTCAGGCCAGGTGCAGTTGCTCACACCTGTGATCCCAGCACTTTGGGAAGCCAAAGCAGGATCACTTGAGCCCAGGAGTTCAAGACCAGCCTGGGCAATGTAGTGATACCCTGCCTCTACAAAAATTATCTGGTCATGGTATCATGAGCCTGTAGTCTCAGCTACTCAGGAGACCATGATGGGAGGATCACTTGAGCCCAGGAGGCAGAGGTTGCTATGAGCCAATATCATGCTACTACACTCCAGCCTGAGTGACAGAGTGAGACAGAGTGAGATTTTGCCTCAAAATTAAAAAATAAATAAACCTACTATAATAGGTTTCTATAGATTTTCCAAATTAAAAATATATTAAAAACTATACTATTATTATCACAAGTTCCTCAATTAATAATTTCATAGATACCATATCTTCAAGAGCTCTAAATACAAAACTATGATTTTTAAAAGTTTAACAATAGGAGCTTAAAAATAAATAACTTATTTTAAAATCTAAGATTAGTAGTAGTATAAATATCTGAAAGCCTCCATGAACTGGAATGCACCACCAAGAGTTTTATGGTCACTCTGTCTTTCACTACTACCCTATTAATATGACAAGTATATTTGTGAACCTATACATGGAATTGAGTCTATGATCTGGAAAAAAAGCTTTGTGTTTCTGTTTTATTTGTCTTGCTTAATTACAACTACAAATGTTAAACAACTTCATCATTCAGTGGCATTGTAAGCACCCATACACGCTGGAGACTTTACTGCAAAAAAAAAAGAAAGAAAGGTCTTTTAGAAAGTGTAGCAACTTGGCCAGGCATGGTGGCTCATGCCTATAATCTCAGCACTTTGGGAGGCCAAGGGGGGAGAATTGCCTGAGCCCAAGAGTTTGACACATAGTGAGAAACATAGTGAGACCCTATCGCTACAAAAAAATAAAATAAAAATTAGCTGGGCATGGCATGCACCTGTAGTCCCAGCTACTTGGGAAGCTGAGGTAGGAGAACAGCCTGAGCCAGAGCCAGAGAGGTCAAGGCTGCAGTGAGCTGTGACTGTGCCACTGCACTCCAGTCTGGGTGACAGGGCAACACCTTGTACCCTCATTCAAAAGAAAAGTGTATCTGGTGATATCAACATGGACAAACCTAGACTTACAGCAAACAACATTAGCCATTCCTAGAATTTTGTTCTAATAGTTAAATGATTATAATAACTCAACAGCAGGATCATAGGAATACTGAATAAAAATAAAAATTTAATTTAACTAAATTTAGAACATAGGTGTTTACCCAAAACAGATGAGCCAATGGAGAGTACATTTAACATAAGTAGAAAGTATAATACCTAGCCTATATTACTTACAGGATTTAAAAGACAGCTGCAACATGGGAGCCACTCTGAGACAAAGGTAGAACCCCTAAATGGCCATAAGGAGCTTATGACACAGAGCTTGAGCAGTAGCCAGAGGACCCTCTTCTCTGAGGCATAAAACATGGTACTGACTGAAGCTCCAAGGCTAGTGAAGGCAGTTGCTGTGTCCTGAAAGAAGCTGTCTATAAAGTGTCCTCTAGTGGTCAAAGGCCATCACTGCATGTTAAGCATAGCAACCTTTCTCTCGGGAGATCAGGAATCAGCTCTCTTAACACACCCCAGTACCTGGGTAGCCAATCTGGTGATTAATATTTTTCAAGTATATACATGGTTTCCCATTTATCTTGATAGGAGACAAAGCAGTCAATGTGATGATTATTATTTTTCTAGTATATACATGGTTTCCCACTTATCTTGATATCAGAAGACAAAGCAAACAAGGTCATTAAAAGTGTCCAGATTTAGTGGCCAAAGAGGTGGTAGAGCCTAGCAATTAAAATCATGGTTGGGAGTAAGGCAGCCTATGAAAATAAAACCTTGCTGTACTTCTTACTGGCTTCGGGACTGTGAACAAATGCATGAACCTTTTTGAATGCCAGTTAACACATCTGTAAAGTGGAGATAATTTTATTACCTCATAAGATAAACTTCATAATAATCTTTAAGGTAATAAATATTAATCAAACCTGGAGCCAACTAAACTCAAAATCTTTTATTATGTTATAATAAATTATTCTCACTTTTAAAGTTGCTTTGCATGTGCATGTGTGTTTTCTCTTATTATTTGCAGTCACTGCCATCCTACTAATACACTGACTACTATAAATAAATATTTTAGGGCCAGGCGCGGTGGCTCACCACCATAATCCCAGCACTTTGCGAGGCCGAGGCGGGTGGATCATGAGGTCAAGAGATTGAGACCATCCTGGTCAACAAGGTGAAACACGTCTCTACTAAAAATACAAAAATTAGCTGGGCATGGTGGTACGTGCCTGTAGTCCCAGCTACTCGGGAGGCTGAGGTAGGAGAATTGCTCGAACTCAGGAGGCGGAGGTTGCAGTGAGCCGAGATCACGCCATTGCACTCCAGCCTGGGTAACAAGAGCGAAACTCCATCTCAAAAAAAAAAAAAAAAAATTTTTAGATTAGACTCTTACCACCGTCTAACCACAGGCTAGAGTTTAGTGTACTAAGGATTATTCTATTATATAGATTATCTAAGCTACTAACTATGCAGATGAGAAGAACAAGGCCCTTAGATGCTTGACATCCTATCCCAGGTCACATAGCTGGTAGAGTTGGGACTGTCTGAAACTCAGTAGGCCTGACTCCCAGTCCAATGCTCATTTAAAACATAATTTATTTCACTCCTTTTCCCAATCCATAAAAGTAACCACAAATCATGCTCCAATGCAGAGGAAACCAAGAAACCAACTGCTTCTTCAACACATTTTCTGGACATGGCAACAATTAACCACTTTTTGTAGGCAGTTAATGGATTAACATGACTGCTAAGACATAATGAAAAGACATTGGAAGAACCACTGTGAAAGCAAAACATCAGTGAGTTCATATCGTACTGAAACATCATTAATTAGACATTGATGTATGAAAAAATGTAGGCAAATGATGAAACCAGGTTACTGTACGTACTCCATAGCCAACCAATGAGACTACCTTCACCCACTTCCTGCTTTCAGTCCAGCCCTGATAAGAGTTATTTGGCTGTCATTCTGCCTTCCCTCCAATTTACCTCCTGCCATCTCTTCATGAATCTGTAGATATGTAATTGAATGACATCACTACTGACCCTATGACTTAGACCCCAAACCTGTAGTCTTTATATACGTTTTTCACATTTCACACCCAAACCATTAGCAAATTCTGAATTTATCTTCAAAGTACATTCCAAATCCAATCACTTCTCACCAACTACACAGCTACTACTTCGATCCTTTTCTTTATAAACTTTCACTTTTCTAACTTCTGCAACTCCCTCATAACAAATACTGTACTTTCACTCTTGTCTGTTATAGCCCCAAAACATGCTACATTGTGTTATTTCTCCGTTCAAAGTCTCCAGCGGCTTACCACAGTCAAAATAAAATCTAAACCCCTTACCTTAGTTTACAAGCCCATTTTAATATAATCCTTGGCTTTACTTTCCAATTGCGTGTCCTATTCATTCCACTCTACACTGGTCTCCTTGATGCTACTTGAAAACGCCATGCCTTTTCCCGGCTTTGTGTCTATGCAGTTTCCTCTGCTGAACAGATTTCACCTCCAAGTATTCCAATAGGTGGCTCCATTGCTTCACTCAGGTCTCTGCTCAACTGTCACCTGTCAAAGAAGCAGTCTCTATTTTGTCTAAATTAGAATACCTGTCATTCTATCCCTTCATCTTGCATATATTTTCTTAAAGCATTTACTATTACTTTATATTATATTATACATTTGTTTATTTTTTATTGATATCTTGTATTAGAAGATAAGCTTTGTGGTGGCACCAACTTGTTTTGTTTATTGATATTTCCCCAGCTCCTAAAACAGTACAGAGCACATATTAGGTACTAATAAGTTATAGTTAGAGAAATGAATTAATGTCTCCATATTTCACCTCTTAACTTCTGAGCGTTGCCCACTGTTTTCCAGTTTGAAAACATAATCCATGCACTGATTAACTGTTCATAGATGCCTCATCACAATGTTTGGTTCTACCTCTTTCACATCGATTACTGAAAGATACAACATCAACTGCTGGATGTTAAATTGATCTAATGGCAGGAACTCTCTCTCAGCTATTTATAACCATGCTACAATGCCTGAAATTCTACAGAAAGCCTTTACAAAATTCCTTCAGCCCTCACAGCTTGCTGTCACCACGCTTGAGATTATCTTATAGGATTGAAAGGTGGAGGCAAATGTTGTCCTAAGTAAAACTATTTGCTTTCAGTTAATGTGGCTGTGAAGTGAGAAGATAGTGAGTCTCCAGGATGTCAGCTGTGATCAGCTTGTCTTGCTATCTTCTGTTAAATATGGCACACAGAAAATACTGAAGAAATAATTCTGTTGCAAGCCCAAGCCTCAGAACCATCTAATAAGGTAACGTGAGTGTCCTATTGTAATTTAAGGTTGAATGAGGGCCTTTGGGCATCACAATACAGTCTAATTCAACTATCACAAGCATGTCTTTAGAAGAGAATATCCTTGCAGGTCTACAGAAGACAACTCACATTCTGCCCCACTGGGCTCCATAATGTAGACTCTCATGTGCCACACTCATGACACCACTCATATTTTCTTCCAAGAGTCGTTGTCTCAACAGAACATTTCCTTGCTGCAAGCACATCCACTACAAGGCATAAAATAGCCAGTTCCATATACAAATAAAACATATGAAATGTAGTTCTTTTAAAGACTACATTTTGTAGTCTGGAGTCATGAAAAAATGGGTCCTATATTCCTAACCCCACTGTTTTGGAAACTTTTTAGAATTGTTATTTTATATAGAAAAGGTAACTGACAATTACTGAGGTCTTATTGTGTGCCAGACACTTTATGAAGCTAGCGACTTCATTTTATTTAATTCTTACAACATTGATCCTGTAAAATAGATATCATCACTGCCATTTTGCACCTGGAAAACAGATTTAGCAATCTCAAGAAGCCCACCCTCCAAACCTCCCTAATCTCCCAGTCTTCCCCACTCAATTAATGTCACACCACCCTTTCAAATGCTCAAACCAGAAACCTACATGTCATCCTTAACATGTAGACACATTTTCATCTCCACTGCTTCTACCAGTCCAAACAACCATCATTTGCCTTGTCGTTGTCTCTTTGCTTTTAAACTTGCATATTCCATTCCCTAAGCCATCAGCCAGAATGATTTTTGTACAACATAAACCATAAAAATAACTGATTAAACACATCCATGATTCCCCACCATACTTGGAATATAATCCAAATTAGTTTACCCGGCATACAAAACTCTGGATGATCTGCCAAGAACTCTACCTTCATGCTCTTATCTTCCCTCTCTCCAATAATCAGAACTTATTTCTGTTCCTGGAATACATTAAGTTTGTCCCGACTTTAAGTTTCCTGCTCTGGAACTATCTTCACACAGATCTTCACATAGAAGTTTGTTGTCATTCAGTTCTCAGATGCTATGTCACCTCTTTAGATGGGTCTTTTCTTTTGACAACATAAGCAGTCCCCCATCATCACACCCTATAGTATCACCCATTTTTATTTCTCCATAGGACTAATTGCTAACTTTTTGCATTTCTTTATTTCCATCTCCTCCCACTAAAATGCATGCTATGAGATACCTTGCCTGTCACATAAAGCACTGTAATTCCAGCACTTAAAACAGTGTCTGGGACATTATAAGTAATTAATAAATGCCTAAGTATACACTGCTAATTCCCAAACCAAGATTAAAATTCAGGTATCTATCCACAAATTTTTTCTACTATATTTTGACTTCTCCATGACTTTATCTTACAATATTATATACTGTAAAATTTACTATTCACTTTACATATACTGATCTCTATTTATTTTACATATATTGATCTCTATGTCCTTTAAATTGCAATTACAATTATCCTTATCCTTCAAGGCCTGTTTTACTTTAACTGTGGCTCCTTTTGTCATACTCCAATCAAACTTAATCACTGCTTTCTCAATGTTAGTATAAAAATCTTTATTATATTTCATTTTTGAAACTTAGATTACCTTGGGTTTTTTAATCTACCTCTCCAGCTAGACTACAAGTTCTTTGAAGTAAAGATCATGTCAATTCTTTTTCATTTTTCCCCATGCCCATCACACATAGAAGGCATTGAGCATAGAAGTTAGTCATTAAATTCTTATGAATTAATTTATTTTTTCTCCATACAAAGATTTTGTCAATTTTCAGATATATGGGGCTCTCACAATACAATAAAAATCACTCAAGGAGGCAAAACAACCTGTTTATTGACAATAAAGATATTTCCAGAGAATTTATTGGAATGACTAAGGTTCAGGGAAGTATTCCACACATTCTAGAATGAATTCCATGGAGAATAAATTGCATCTCACTGACTCAGAACCTATAAATATTTTTCAAGTAATATTGACACAGGAGGTTGAATTCCAAACAATTTTTTAAAACCACTAATCGTTCACATTTCCCCTCAAATGTCACACAGTATAAAACTGATGGATCTTTTGTGACCTGATGACATTTGTCTCCATTCTTAAAGGTATTATAATGGAAATGTGGTCTTCTATCATCCTGCTACAGTTGGTATAAATCCACTAGATACTTTTAAAAAATATTTTGGGAACACACAGTCATGCAAACCAATGTCTGCCTGTCCCAGCAGGGGATAGTAAAAGACTTTACAAACACCAGATGGGATTTAACAGCGTTAATAAAACATTAAATGCTCCAAGAGTGCTAAGTCACTTTGCAAGAACTCAAAGAAAATATATTTGATTTCCATTATACATGTTTTTCTTTCTTAAGAAATTCTAAAATTTTCCAGTAAAAGTTTTATCATAGTCCTCTGACAGTTAATTTCTCTTAATGTTAAACTATAATTATCAACCCTTTGGATACTATGCATAGATTAGTATTTGTGGTTATGTTAACAACTTTCTAGTTTTACCACAAATCTAGAACATATCAAGTTAATGAATTTCAGCATATTTAATGCCTGCTGCACCAGAAATCCAAAGCAGAAATATTTTTGTCCAATGTGGCTTATTTTTTGTTGTAACTAACTATTCATGTGTTGACATTTTCGTAAATATTTTATAAAACAATAATTGGTAATCAATATAAGATGACATAGAAATACATTATTATCCAATTTATTTTGAAAAATAATGTTCTTGGACTCTTCTGGGAATATAAGATTGAATCATAAAATAAAATCAATTTTCTATTCAAAGTGAGAAGAAGCACAGATAATCCCCCCACAAAAAAATATATTACACTTGCAGTTGGATTTCATTGAGAATTTGCTCAAGTAACAAGGTTCCAGATTGGGGACAAGAAAAGGAAGAATATCTACAAATGTTCTTTACTATTGTTTTACTTTACTGTGATTAGAAAATGGCTTGCTTTGCCTAAGTACATGTCAACTCTCAGTAAATGGTTTCAACCCAGAAGAAAGTAGTTGAAAGTCATTCTATAATTAAATTTTAGCTACATTTAATATAGTAAGTATATAATCCACAAATGAACAATAAAGCAACGGAAGAAAAAATGTATAAATTTGGCCTGGCCATGTCTGTGAGCAGATGGGCTACTTTTCCATCCTCCGAACCATGTCACTTATTTCAGATAAGGAAATAATTCAGAGCAAGAAAATACTGTAAAAGAAATCAGCACAACTGGAGTCAAATACCTGTTAGCTCACTTGATGACAGTTCAAGAACCAAAGAGGTCAAGCTCATGGGTTTGCTCAAAGGTGGGGTCAGGGAAGGGTCTCTGTCTCAGTACATTTAACCTCAAAGAGAGTGAACATCACAAAAAATAAATCTAATTTTGTCACTCTCCTACTTAAACTCTTCCTTAGCCCCTTCTGATCTCAGGAGAAAGTCCAAAATCCCAAAATGCCATCCAATGTGCTTTATGAACAAGGTTTGCTGAGTTCTCTGCCCTCATCTCTCAACCTGCCCAACTCCCTTCACAGCTGTGTAGCAAAATGCAATTCCCCAAGAACGCCCTACTCCTTTAAACTGAAACACTCCTCCCTCACTTTCTCAGGACTTACTCCCATTTATAACTCAAACTACCACTTGGAGGGCAGCCCCTCCAGAAAATCTTGCATTCCCAAAGTCCTGTGAGAACAGAAAGTCCTCCTGCAAGTGCTGCCAGCACCCTACAATATACCCTATTAATCATACCCTATTGCAGGGTGATTTGTCTGTCTTTGCCACTGGATAGTATTATTTAATCCTCACAAAACCCAATGAGATAGGCCTTATTATGTAATATATATATTAATAAACCAAGATTCAGAGAGAAACTTACTTAAGGTCACATGGTTAATTAGAGGTGAAAGAAGAAATAAAATCCTGTAGCTTCTTTTAACCATCACAGTATGCAGCCATTGAGGGTGAAAGCATTAATTCAGACCATTGTGAACTGTTACTACACTAAATTAGATTTTACATATATTATACATAATCATATACACATATGTATATATAATGCTTAGTGTAGGACCTACCTGTAACACACACTATGTGCTCAATAAATATTAGTCATCAATATTATATTATCATTAGCATTATTAATGATTGGCCAGAGTTCATCTCTTTCGATATAAAACTCC